TTCACTTTTGCTTTCGTACAGAATATTTGCAAGACATAATAAAACACACTTACCTTTAACTGGTGGGCATTACCGTTAACAATTCCTCTCTAACGGTTTTAACTTTTAGACATATAACTTTCACATCTTTAAGTTATTTTTCTGCTGATTTATCATGTATTTGTTTAAATCTTGTAGGTGTGTTCTTTTCAGCCAATCAAAAACTTTACCAGAATTTCGGTAAGCCTCGTTTTGGCGTTACAAACGATATCACGTATCTTTACCAGACCCTCTGGGTGGTCGGAGATTTACGGAGACAGCCGAGGGTCTGGTTGAACGAGACTAGTAAAGTAATCACATTAAATTGAAACAATACGAAAAGGGAGCAGTTCAGACAATATGAAAATTGATTTATTTTTCTTTGGTGCCAAAATCGGTTGGCGATGTTCTATGACGTAGGAGTTTAACTGTACCTTGCGGCCTTTCCAATCATAATTAGCCAGAATCTAGATTTATAGAATTTTTAAAAACAGCTTGATAACTTTATTTACATGGTTTAACATTAAATTAAAGAGACATGGACATGGTTTCAACTGAAATTTTATTTTACCATTTTTAATGTTTGTTTACAATTTCTAACTGATAGCAATTCTGATGATCAGCAAAAGTTTGAATGTCATTTGTTGATTTACAAATGAGAAAAAGAACTTAAAGTTCTTTATAATCTAAGCAAGTCTTGTATCTTGTTTTTCTTTACATTTAGAAAATGTCGTGTTTATTATGAAACGAGGTTCAACAAAGCACTAGAAGCTGTTCCATTGCATTTAGCAGTAAATTGTATAATGAAAATTTGCTTTGAACGAAGATAAGTACAATCTATTTAACCTATATAAACAAAAAACGGCATGTGCTTTATTTTCATAAAAAATATTGGGAGCTCAAAAACTCTCTTGTATCTCAACAACTGACATTAAATTTTTGATGATCATTAGAAACACACTAGTAATAACATTGTGAAATTTAAAAAATCGAAAAAATAAAAATAAAATTTGAGAATTTTTAGATGATATTGTATCCATGTCCCTTTAATTTCTTCATTTTTTTTGTTAACGATATTGTTTGGTTTTTTTTGGTTTTTTTTGGTTCTTTTTTTTTTTTTTTTTTGTCTTTTGGATTTTTTTTAGTTTCTTCTTGTTTTTTTGCATCATTTGTACATATTTTTGTTCTTTAATATAACTGGAAAATAGTTAAAAAGCACATGGAAATTGGCGGACTTGAACTTCACAAAACTTAACAAGGCTTGTATGTTAAGTAACTAGGGCGCATATAGGGTAAATATAAATAATGCTTTGTGTAAGATAAAAAATGTTGCTTGTGAAGTAATTTAGACGATAAATTACGATGAGTTTTAAAGTGTGTTTTTTTTTCTATAGAAGGTTTTTCTTATTCTTGTTATTATAAATATTATATATTTTTGTAGACACTCTTTATGTTTTAATTGCGCCCCGTTATAAGCAGGCCTATTTTTCTATACCTATGAAGAAGAATTTGTCCAAAATCTTTTACGTGAAAAGATGAGAACACTTGCAGTGCCCTTCAACTCGATATACGTATAGACGACGTATTGCCATTGAACAATGGTAATTTCCATTCTTATATCGATACGATATATCCCAGTGAGCTTGACATAAAAGATCCTACACAATCTGACACATCTGTTTCATACTTAGATATTTTACTTGAAAAGGAACTAATGCTCATCTAACAACCAAGCTTTAAGACAAACAATATGACGTTAACATTTCAATTGTCAATTTCCTTTACTTATGCAGCAATATGCCTTCATCACCTGCATATGGGGTTTATATCTCTCAGTTGATTCGATACACAAGAGCATGGTCTACGTATGAACAATTTTTTAACGGAAGAATATGGAGATAACGAACAGTATTCAATATCAAAGTCCATAAAACAATACAGAGCAAACACGGACCTCAAAAACATCAAAAGTGGGATCAGGTGCCATGGAGGAGTGAGCATCCCCTGCCGACCGGTCACACCCGGTGTGTGCTCCTTGTCATGATCAGGAAATAACGGAAAAATCCGTCGTCAATTCAGTGTATAAATTCAGTATAAATAGACTAACAATTAGTATGAAAAACGTCAGCCAGCATTTGACTCAATGATAAATTGTATTTGCTGACAAGGTCATGGTATCGACCATAGAACTTTAAAAATGATGACTTTAAACGAGACTGCTGATATTCTTGTTTCATCAACTTGTTTGTCAATAATTTACCTCGTTTTAGAAATTACATACGCAGAGCATGCTCTAGCGTATCGAATCAACTGAGATATGTAAACTCCGTATGCAGGTGATGAAGGTATATTGCTGCATAGGTAAGGGAAGTTGACGATAGAAAAGTTACAGTCATCACGTTTATCATAGAGCTTGGTTGTTAGATTACCATTAGTGTCTTTTTCAAGTAAAACATCCAAGTATGAAACAGATGTCTCAGACTCTGTGGTATCTTTTATCTCAAGCTCATCAGGATATATCGTATCGACATAGGAATGGAAATTACCATTGTTAATTGACAATATGTCGTCGATATATCTAAATGACGAGTTGAAGGCCACAGCAAGTGTTTTCTTCTTTTTCAGGCATAAGATTTTGCATAAATTCTGCTTCATATGAATACAAAAATAAGTCTGCTAATAACGAAGCGTAATTTGTACCCATGGGAATTCCAATAGATTGTTGGAAGACCTGGTCTCCAAAAACCACATAGATATTGTCAATCAGAAACTCAAGCATCTTTTTTATGTCAACTTCAGGATACATGTGTGTACAGTCAGAATGTGTTTTAAAATAATAATTTTACGAATGACCAATGATGAGGTAAGTAAATTTACAAGTTCCATTTTTATTGAAAAAGCAGCTGTCAATGATATCAAAAAGCCTGGCTTTAAATTTATCGTGAGGAATGGTGTATAAAGTTGAAAAGTCGTAAGTTTTTAAGCTGTTGATTTTGGTAAAATCTTGTGATTTCAAATTGTCCAAAAGCTCTTTGGAATTTTTGAGTATCCACATCTGATTCATACCACTTGTTGAATATATTGTTGCACAGTACTCTTGAAGTTTTTATGAGGTAAGCTATTGACAAACGAGTTGCTGAAAGAAGAATTTCAGCAGTCTCGTTTAAAGTCATCATTTCGTAAGTTCTATGGTCGATACACTGACCTTGTCAGCAAATACAATTTATCATTGATTCAAAAGTTTTCCATACTTATTGTTAGATCATTATCTACACAAAGTATTGTCGATGGATTTTTTTCCATTATTTCACGGTTAGGAGCACAGGGCGGATGTGACCGGTGAAAGGGGGTGATCACTCTGATTCCACCTCTGATGTTTTGGAGGTCCGTGATTGCTCTGCTCCTATGTTGTATTGTTTCATGGACTTGTGAACTTGAATACTATTCGTTTTCTCCATATATCCGGGTAATTCATGCAATAGTGGTGTATCTATTGAAAGGTTATCACAACCCACTTTATAAAATGAATTCTGGATATATCTTAACGTAATACAATGTTGATACGAGAGTGGATGGTTACAATTATTGTGAGAAATTTATATCACATTGTTTTCTATTTTTGGCTTCAAAATTGCGACCTTTTGTTACATTATGTGCTATGGGAGAATGACTTAAAAATTGAAACTACTATGTATATACATTTCGCTGGCATTTATAAATTAGTACACTGCTGAAAAAAGTCTAGACTAAAAATAGTTCTGGTCTATGAAAGAGTTGATAAAAAACCTGTCACACTCTTTAAAAATTCAGGTATTTAAAATGTAAACATGATAATACTTTCTTTTTATTCTGTGTATTGTATAAACTTTTAATGCCCGGGGGGAGGGGGTGGTAGGAGCTGTCTCGAACTTTTTTAAGTTAACTACTTTGATAGTGTAACAGAAACAATTAAGTGTCTCTACTTAAGTGGGATTGAACCCGAGGCCTCTGACTTGCCAGTTCAGTGCTCTACCAAATGAGCAAATAACCCACTAGCCTAAGCTAGTAGGAAGCCGTACGTGTATCGTTTGTACTCCCACAATAGAATTTTTTTCATCTAAATGTTGCTTAGTTCCTTTTACTGTTGCAGTGATGTAGATTTTTGCCAATTTATTGCATTAAAAAAGTCATAAATTGGAAGATCTTTCAGAGGAAGCGAAAATTTTTGATTTTTATTTGAGATTTAGTTTTTTCCCCTTGTCAATCATTTCGGTGCCCCCTTTTGTTTTTCAAATATATAGTTTAGAATGTTTATTTCTTATTATTACGATGAAAAATCTAAATTGTTGATATATTTAAGGGAATCAAATCAAAGAAACAAAATCAATGTTAATAAGTACATAAATTCAAATGGTGACTGATGGTTTTCAAACTAATTGTTAGGGTATTATTCACACGCTGAATTTTTTTTTTTAACACTGACAAGGAACACTTTGCAAACTATACCAATGAACAGGGGATGCCTTTTCCTCCGTGGCACCTGATCCCACCTCAGATGTTCATAAAGGGCCTTTTTTCTCTGCTTCCGATTTGTTTTGGTTCAATGGACTTTTGATTTTGATGTCTGTTCATTATCTCGATATTTTAAGTAGAAATGAAATTCTGTTTGCTTTTATAAGTTCGGAGCTCTTTGAATTTTACATCTTTTAAACCATTCTTTTTTCAATTATGTTCACAATGATTACAACAGGAAGTCAACTTAAAAAAAACGACAAATGAAGGTTTCAGTCAGTTCTATCAATAACGTCTCTTCGATCATATACTCGACGTTATTTCGTATGCAGAGTTTATTTTATGTTCATTAGTAGAATTCGCCTTATTTGTTTAGTAATTTACATCATATTAATTAAAACTGACATTAATGCACAAAACTATATATAGAACAAAATGCGTAAAACAGATTTTTATTCATCAATAAAATTAATGTCAACAAATTTCTTTTTACAAGATTCCACAATTAACAACAGTTACAGAATAAAAATATGATAGATATCACATATTGAATTAACAACAGTATCTATCTGTTTTACTAAAATGGGTATGATAGAGATGACTGCTTAATTGATTTTTAATGAATACACTTAGATATTAACAAATACTTATATTAATCACAAAATATATCCTTTCATATAAAAGATTCTTTCGTGAAGATAAGTTTATCACTCTTCAAAACTCCTAAAGAAGAAATAAGGGCTTAAAGATACGTGAAATAACAAAACATCACACAGATCACATTCTATTCATCTTAACGCTATGAAATACACTCATAACTGTCCCTTTAATGTTGCCCCACCACTGAGATCATTTTTACACAAAATTACCTGTCTGTAATCAGAAATATTACAATCAATAGTGTTTGGCTTTTGTATTTTAAAGCAAGAATCTTTCAATCAATATAAAGTAAATGTATACCGTAGAGTTTTGACATAACATTTAAGCATTTCTTAAAATTATTATATAATATTTCAATCAGAATTACCTCTAGTTATGTTATAATATTTCACACAGTATTACTTACAGCTGTGATATAATATTTCAATCAGTATTACTCATGATATTAAAACAGTGAGGTATCCTGACTAGTACATTTTTAGATTCAGAGAAACATAAAAAATGTGTATATTGACATCTATATAAATTTACCGGCCGTATGTTCCTTTCTGTGTTGTTCAGCAAATTACCTTCAAATCTTCTTTGCAAAACTGGTATCATAAAAATCGAATTTCTTTAAGTAAAAATGTATGAATCTCAGTTCATTGTAAACAAGATAAAAAAATATCAACAATACTTATTTATGAAATGTGAAAAACTAGTTCATTTTCTGATATTAAATGATTTCCTTCGTGTCAATATAAAACTTACACACAAAAGAATCAGAAAAATGCAGCAAACACTGAGAAAAGACTTAACATTCATAATCTGTCAGAATAATACAAACAAAACGCAGAATTTGGTCATGTCTGTCTAAGATTACCATGTAAGGAAGAGGCTGAATTACAGCCCCTTCTTCCTCTGTTACAAAAACCTGTAAAGGTGAACAGTTTATTACACTGCCTTGACTCTGTAATTTCTCCGCTAATTTCAATTTCAGATGACATTTGTTAATAAAGTAAAAGGGATGAAACGAAAATAGCACCTCCAAATGTAAAAAGAAATATAATTGAAGATAGACGGTTAATTACTTTCATCCATTTTATTTAACAAACATAGGTGAGGATTCTGATATTCATTCACGAGATAAACACACTGTTCACAGAGTAGTAACATAATGCCCTCTGGTTTCCAGAGTTTTTAAATTCTGTTTGTGCTTCCTGTTGGTTTTATACTTTTGGCTGATATTTTTATTTTACTCGTTCGTGTGTGTTATGTTTGTAGTTTACTGGTTTTAATAATTTGGTGCCAGTAATCCGTGGGACGATGCGGGTGTTCCATTATGTCATACCAATGGTCCAATTGTTCCCCATGGCTGTGCCAACCAAATTCTACCTGTAAATTCGTAAACACAAAATATTTACTCAGAATTATAAAAATATGAAAAAAAATATATGCATATCATCTCTTCACTTTGATACTGTTAAACTTAATTCCTACCTCTTTAATAGATGATGAGCAAGTGGTATTAAAAATTACAAAAAATGCTGTAAATTTTTATCCAAGTTAAAAAAAAGTTATGCCATCTTGTTTGGCGGGAAAGGAAAATTTTTATGATTTTTTTTGTTATCGTCACATCTTTTTTTTTTTAATCAATGAACTTGACAATGTTGATCAGAAAAATGACGTACAAGTTAGATCTCGTATATACCAATTACTGTCAATCACTTTTATTTCCGAGAACTTCACGAAAATATTCGTGTAAACACGCGAGACGATCTGCTCGCGCAAAATTTATTCTTATATAAAATGAAATATAAGGAGACAACGAACAGTATTCAAGACGAAAAATCCATAAAACAATACAAAATAGGAGCAGAGCAATCACGGACCTCCAAAGCATCAGAGGTAAGATCAGGTACCAAGGAGGAGTGAGCATCCCCTGCCGACCGGTCACACCCGCCGTGTGCTCCTTGTCATAATCGGGAATTAACGGAAAAATCTGTCCTCAATTCAGTGTATAAATAACGGACTAACAATAAGTATGAAAAACGTCAATTCAGCATTTGACTCAATGTTAAATTGTTTTGCTGACAAGGTCATTGTATCGACCATAAAATTTACGAAATGACGACTTTAAACGAGACTGCTGATATTCTTGTTTCATCAACTTGTTTATCAATACCCAGTTTACCTCGTTTTAGAAATTGTTCACATGTAGAGCATGGTCTTGCTTATCGAATCAACTAAGAGATATAAACTCCCTGTGCAGGTGATGAAGGTATACTGCTGCATAAGAAAGGGAAGTTGAAGATTGAAAAGTTGAAGTCATCAGGTTTATCATAGTGCTTCGTTGTTAGATTACCATTAACGTCTTTTTCAAGTGAAATATCCAAGTATGAAACAGATGTGTCAGACTCTGTGGTATCTTTTATCTCAAGCTCATCAGAATATATCGTATCGACATAAGAATGGAAATTACTATTGTTAATTGACAATACGTTATCGATATATCTAAATGACGAGTTGAGGGCCACAGTAAGTGTTTTCTTCTTTTCACACATACGATTTTGGACTAAATATGCTTCTTATAAATACAAAAATAGGTCTGCTAATAACGGGGTGCAATTGGTATCCATGGGAATTCCAAAAGATCATTGGAAGACCAAGTCTCCATAAACAACATAGATACTGTCAATCAAAAACTCAAGCATCTTTTTGATGTCAACTTCAGAGTGCTTGTGTGTACAATCAGAATGTTTTTTTAACAATAAATAATTTTGCAAATGACCAATGACAAGGTAAGTAATTAAATTTACGAGTTCCATTTTTATTGAAAAAGCAGCTTTCAATGATATCAAAAAGCTTGCACTTTAATTTATCATATGGAATGTTTGTGTATAAAGTTGAAAAGTCGTGGTTTTAAGCTGTTGATTGTGGTAAAATCTTGTGATTTCAAACTGTCTGTGATTTCAAACTGTCCAAAAGTTCCTAGGAATTTTAAGTATCCACATCGGATTTACTCCGCTTCTTGAATGTATTGTAGCACAGTCCTCTTAAAGTTTCTCCTTTACTACTGTTAATATCTTAGTGAGGAGTAAAGAAAGAGGCTTGTTTGAACATTACTGGAACCCACTACATATTTGAATCTTTGTTTGTAATGATTTTCATGTAGTTTCGGAATCCAATATAGATATAATGGTAGTTCAAATTCAAAATCATTTTGATTCTTTGGGATCTTAAAAATATTTAAAATTGACATCTGATTTTGAAGAATTTCTTCCTTAAAAGCAGTCCAGTCCAATACGAAAATTCGTAATATTACGAAAAAACGTAAGATTACGAAAAAGCGTAATATTACAAGTTAGCGTAATATAAAACTAATATTACAATTTTTCGTAATGTAGTTAAATTACGAATACGTGTAATATAGCAGATTGTAAGTGACTATATTACAAGTTTTCGTAATCAAAGACAAATTCAAGCATTGCAAGAAATTGAGTGGTGGGTAGCAAAGTATGACGTCAGTAATATATCAGATTCCACGGCTATTGATAGCACGCGGTCAGTTTAGTCAGTTACGCCTATCAGAAAGCACGGAAATTCAAGAAGAAAGTACCACCTGCGATGGGTGAGTGGACAATTTCTTTTATTATTCTTTTATAGGAATTTTCCCAAGGATAAGACCAATTTTCCAGTAAATTTCAATATTCGCTTAAGCATGTCGCATTGGTATGGGCTGCGGAAAGGGCAAAAATTACCATAATGAGAAAACAAACAATTATTTTAATTTCAATGATCATAAAAACTTAACAAATGATATACAATGCATAATCAACAGACCTTTTCGCACAACAAGTATACATTAAAGCATAACAAACGAACAAGTACGTAACAAACATACATAAATGCAAAACCAACGATCATCTTTGCAGTACAAACGTACATAAAAACACGACAAACGAAAAAAACTTAACCAACGTGCACGCGGTAAATCTAGTCTTCACGACTCCCGGCTCCCGACGGTATCGGATTTTTTTTTTAATTTCTTTTTCGTCGATGCAAAGAAACTCTTCAAACTTCTCAGGCACATTTTCTTTTTAAATGAATTCAATAATATGTAAAAACTCTAACAAATTTGCGTATTTATTACTGAATCAGCAGTATCACCTTCCAAAAAGCGGTAAATGTAGTACTCCGTTATAAATATGAAAACCAAAAACGGACATCGATACAGAGAGACGTAACGTGTCGTAGATAGTAAAGGTGCATGGACACAGATTTGAAGTTAATATTTTCTGTATAATATTATGACTTATGTACTTTAATAGCATTTCACACAAAAATAAATTAAAAATCTTATTTCATCTAAAAGTTATTGAAACTTCAAATTTTTGGATGGGTTTGATTGATACATCCTTGCAATCTCACAAATTTTAATTTTATTCTTAATACTTAGGAAAAGTGGCAATCTTGTTTCAATAACTTTAAGACGAAATAAATTAAATTTAAATCTGTGTCCATGTATTTTAAAAGATATTTCAGGTATTGATATTGAGAAGATATTTCTTCTCAAAAAGATTGAATTTAGCATATCAGTGAAAATTGGTGGTGTTAATAAAAAAATGAACAATTAAATTCTATAAAAAATTATAACATCAAAATGATTTGATTTCAAAAAAGATTTTTATCAAAATCTTCATAAAAATAGCTAAATCTAACATTGTACTTATGGTAAAACAATGCAAAATGAAAGTACTGCATTGTTATACATTGACGTAGCATCGTTTTTAAAGGAGGGGGTAACCAAAGAAAAAATTTCAATCTAGCTGAAAAAAAGATTTTAAAAACTTAACAATGAATGAATTTTTTTAAACCTAGAAATTTGCCTGAGAAGTGTGAAGACTTTCAAAAAAAGAAAAAAAAGAAAAGAAATCGGGACCGTCGGGAGCCGGGAGTCGGGAAGACTAGATTTACCGCGTGCACGTTGGTTAAGTATTTTTCGTTTGTCGTGTTTTTATGTACATTTGTACTGCAAAGATGGTCGTTGGTTTTGCATTTATGTATGTTTGTTACGTACTTGTTCGCTGGTTTTGCTTTAGTGTATATTTGTTGTGCGAAAAGGTCTGTTGATCATGCATTGTATATCATTTGTTAGGTTTTTATGGTCATTGAAATAAAATAATTGTTTGTTTTCTTATTAAGGTCTTCCGTCTCCAACGGAAGACCTTATTGTTTTCGTTCGGTTTCTTTTTCCCTATTATTATTATTATTATTAAGGTCTTCCGTCTCCAACGGAAGACCTTATTGTTTTCGTTCGGTTTCTTTTTCCCTATTATTAGGGTCTTCCGTCTCCAACGGAAGACCCTCCTATTATTCTATTGTTTCTTTTTCACTTTTTTTCTTATTATTATTATTATTTTTCTCCATACCAATTTTTGTGCAGACGATTTCTCAGAGACGGTTTGGTCGATTCACTTGAAAATTTTAGAGATGATCTGTCATAATGTGAACCTGATCCAATTTTCTTGATTTTTGGAAATTCACTTCCGGTCAAAAGTTATCGCCCTTTAATCGATTTTTATATGACATTTTTGTCCGGTCAAAAACTCAAAAACGAGAAACGCTAGAAGGCTGAATTTTTCAGGAATGATAGACGACATGTTATAGTTTTGTACCTATGTTTTCAAAATTTCTGGACGTGCCTAGTATGGAAGCTCGGTAGGGGTCAAAATTTAGGACACGAATCATGACTGATTTTTTGAGACATTTTGAATCATATCTTTTAAAGTATAATTATTTTGTTAACACATACTGAGTAATATTTGTGCAGAATAACAAGATCTTTAATATGATATCAAGAAAAAAGTGCTGACTCATCACATTAGGGGCTACGAGGGGCCAAAAGTATTTATTTGATAACTCTTTAGCAGTCAATATTTTGTAATACATTACTGAAACAAAAATGTTTATCTCAACAATCTACAACTATATATAATGTTATTTATATCGTATGGTACATAATTAGGGGCCACAAGGGGTCAGAATTCTTAATCTTTGAAGCTTAATATCTCAAAAGTGGAAAATATTTTGATAAGTAATATTAAACAAAGGATGTTCAAAATCATGTTCTGAGCAATATGCAATCTTTCATTTTTAGCTAAACGTCCCCATTAAGGAGTTGTAGGGGTGGCCCCTAAATATTTCTTTTGCAAATAACTCAAAAATGAAAGAGAATCTCTGAATAGTTGTTGCACAAAAATTGTTCAAACTCCTAAGAGCTTTAAGATGAAATCAAGAAAAAGGGGCTGGGCACTCAAATTAAGGGCCGAGAGGGGCCAAAAGTCTTCAATCGATAACTCTTTAGCAGTCAATATTTTGTTATACATTACTGA